CGCCGGGGCTGGGGGGCCGCGGCGGCACAGGCTGGCTGCAGGCGGTACCGCCCCTCGCCGCACTTCCCATCCCCCGGCGGGCACCCGCGCCCCCTCGGCGTCTCGCTCACCTCCACAGGGCCGCGGCGGCCCTCGCTGCGCCTCTGTCACCTGCAGCGGCCGGCACCATCCGCACTCACGCCAGGAAGCTCCCACGACCCAGCCCACAACCCCGGCCGCGGCGTCCTCACTCTCCGCCCCGCCTGCTCACAGGCGGCGGCCGGGGACCAGCGCCGAGGGGCGGGGGAGCGCCGACCCGACGCAGCCCGACCAATCCTGGACCAGTGCCACAGCGGTGGAGCCAATGAGCAACGAGCTCCTGCCGGGCGGGAGGGAGCCGCCGGGCCGCTGCGGCAGGCGGCCTCCTTGCCTTGCCTTGCCTTGCCTTGCCTGCGCCTTTCCTTCCCCCTCTGGCGTTCACTCCCCGGCTTGTCGCAGTGCAGCTTCCCCACCCTCCCAGCGTCTTGTCTCTTAGCAACCAGATCTTAGATGACCAATGCTGAGTCCAGAAGAAAGGGAGATATGGGAGATAAAAGAACTCGTATTAAGAGAATGGATGAAATGGTTCGCGGTGCAGGTCATTTTGGTGTATCTGCTTAGGCTGAACGGGAAAACTGTAAGATCTGAGAGACACCAAAAGTATCTTGAGTGAAGCAATGTCTTCACCAAGAGGTAGCTCTTAGAAAAATGTAAATAGCTCTGGATTACAAATTCGGTTTTCATATATTAACAATTCCCACTAATGGGAATTTAGTAAAATACATAAGGCTCAATATTGTAAGGTAAATGCCTCATGTCAGTATCTCTAATTTGCACTTGGAATGTTTCTATTCTGAAACGGAAATTGTTAGGATCAGAAAGGAAAGAAAAAGTAAGGCCTTATCCAAATGAATAATTACTATAATAAGATCTGATGGATTAAATGGCTTACTGTACAGAATGTCAGGGTTTTTTCCATTGTATCTATTGTGACTTTCTGCACAGCAGAAAAATCTTTTACTATTTTTGTTCTACAAAGGCACTAAAGTTAGGCAAGTTTTGTACCACAAAGATACTAGGTTTTAGGTAAATTTTTAGAGAGAATCTACCTCTACTTCCTCCCCTTCTCCTTTCACATAGGCTGGTACTCAATCGTGATGGTGGTGAGCCATCTTTAACCATAACAACCAGAACAACCCATAAGGGATTGGAGAGCAATAATGTAGAAGGAACCTGGGCCCTGAATTAACTTTTTTTAAAAAAAGATGACCGGTAAGGGGATCTTAACCCTTGACTTGGTGTTGTCAGCACCACACTCTGCCAAGTGAGCCATGGGCCAGCCCTCCTGAATTAACTTCTGAAGCAGAGCATACATCTGGATTTTCATGAGGGAAAAAAAAGTTTATCTTGCTGTTGGTACTGTGTTTTTAAGTGTCTCTGTTACAGCAGCTTAGTGTGTGTCCTAAACGAGAAAGTTGGCCCCTGAAAGTGGAGTGCTATAATAGCAAAAATATAAGACATATATGGCACTGGCTAGCAGGTAGAAATATATTACATGCTGGAAGACTGGTTGGTGACTATTCCCAAATATACTGGGAAAAGTGCCAACTGTGTTAACTGTGAAGGCAGATTATCAAACCTATAACTCTGAGGGAAGTGGTTTAGAAAAGGCCAGAATGTGAGTTTGTGTTGGCTTTCAGCCAGTTTCAACAAAAACAGATGAAGTCAGTTAAGAATTAACCAGTTTGCAAAGAGAGATGGAAGAGAGTAGAATTTTACTACTGGACCCCCTCCATAACATCTGCTCTTGTTGATCCACATACTACCAAGTAACTCTGAGAGATCAGTTTGGATACTTAGTGTCTGAAGCTTTTTCTCATCACTCTTGTCTAGGGAATAACATACATTTACAGAATGACAACTAGAAAGGATTCTAGAGAGATCAACTTCAATCTTTTCAATTTAAGGTTCAAACAGAAAGTTTAAGTGACTTGTCCAAGGTCAAATGGCCAACTCATTAGGTTCAATGACCTTTGCACAAGGAAGAGTCTTTCTTCAGCGTTGTATAGATGGTCCTTCTTGAGGTCCTTTATGCAGAACAGGCAATTTCACCCACGACTTCCATCCATTTCCCCCTCACCAACTGTGCCCTTTTGTGTTTATAAGCTTCTGTATTCCTCTATTAGTTTTAGTACAGTCTAAGTTGCTTTAATAAGGAGACCTAAGACACAATGGCTTAAACACAACAAAAGTTTCTCTCAAATTACAGTAGAGGTGGGTAGTCCAGGGCTGGCAGGGATGCTGTGCCATCCTTGACACACAACTTCCATCTCAGCATCTTAAATGGTTGCAGAACTCTCACTCCTACTTCCAAACCCCGCAGAAGAAATGGGAGGTAAGGCAAGGGAAATGCATGCCGCAGTATGTTTTTTTAAATCTATTTTTTAGTTGACAAAAATTATATATGTTTATGGTGTAGAACATGGTTTTGAAATATGAATATATAGTGGAATGCCTAAATCAAGCTAATTAACATATGCATTGCCTTGTATATTTGTGATGAGAACACCAAATCTACTCTTGGCAATTTTCAGGTATGTAATACATTGTTATTAACTATACACATCCTGTTGTGCAACAGATCTCTTGAACTTAATCCTAACTGAAATTTTGTATCCTTTGACCAACATCTCTCCATTCCCTCCTCACCCAGCCCCTGGAAATTACCATACTGCTCTCTGCATTTGACTTTTTTAGTTTCCACTTACAAGTGTGATCATGAGGTATTCTTTCTGTGCCTGGCTTATTTCACTTAGCATAATGTCTTTGAGATTCTTCCATGTTGTTGCAAAAGACAGGACTTTCTTCTTGAAGACAGAATAGTATTACATTATGTATACATACCACTTTTTCTTCATCCATTCATCTGTTGCTGTACACTTAGATTTTCCATATCGTAGCTATTGTGAATAATGCTGCAGTGAACATGGGAGTGCAGACATCTCTTTGACATACTGATTTCATTTCCTTGGGATATATACTCAGCAGTGTGATTGCTAGATCATATGGTAGTTCTAGTTTTAATTTTTTGAGGAACCTCCATACTATTTTCCATAATGGCTGTATTAATTTAAATTCCTACCAACAGTGTGCAAGGGTTCCCTTTTCTCCATATCCTCAACGCTTACCTTTCCTCTTTTTGGTAGTAGCAATTTTAACAGGTGTGAGGTAGTACCTTGTGGTTTTAATTTGCATTTCCCTGATAATTAGTGATATTGAGCATTTTCCCCCATATACCTGTTGCATGCCCCAGTACTTTTAAGGGCATGATCCAGAGTCATACGCATCACTTCTACTTACATCCCATTGACTAGAACTTAACTACAAGGGAGGCAGCTTCATTTTCTAAGGTAGACTCTGAGCAGCTGTGTAGCCAACTAAAACGTGGGAGTTCCACTTTTAAATTATGAAAGAGTGAATACTAGTGGTCACTCAATCATCAGTCTCTACACAACAGCCTAATTTCAAGGATTATATGCTACTCAGATCTCTATTACTGACTTCATTAAAATAAATTATTTTTGAGACTTTTTAACTACAGTGAAATGTGAAACTAAAAAGGAATCTCATTCATACTGAAACAAACACCCCCCCCCAAAAAATGTTTATTAATAAAAAGCAATAAAAGTAAATGGAAATGCTTTTGGGACTCCACCTACTACCAAACATTACTGGAGAACCAACTTCTCCATGATAAGGCAAAGGGTGGTACAAAACAACAAAATTAATGTGGAAAAGTAAAAGAAAGTTATCGATAAGTATATTTTCTTCATCTGCTTCAAGGTCTGTAAGAAATTAAAAGTGTGTGTTGGAGCCCATGTTCATTTCCCAAGCATCTCTAATGGTTATGTCCCAGTGTGCAGATTTTTTTAACTACCAGAAAGTGGAGGACCCTGTTTATAATACCCATCTAAGGTGAGACACCAAGTGTTGAGACTATACATGTCCTACATGGTGTCATCATGTGTATATATACATAGCAGTTCTATGCCCTGCTTTGCAGAATCTTGACTGCTTACTGCTGAGCAATATTTTTTCCCCTTGTCTCTTAGTACCTGTGCTAGAAATAAGTAGAGAATTTCCCATTCTTCTAATAGACTGCTAACTCAAGAATATCCCTGTTCCTAGATATCCCCTTAGCAGGCCCTCAGTCCTTAAAAACAGCTCCTGATTCAAAACTGCATCATGGTTATTAATGAACACTTATCACTTTTAACATGAGTTTATATATATGAGCTCTTACTATATACAAGGGTACTTCAAAAAATTCATGGAAAGAATTTTTCTTTTTTTTTTTTCCTTTTTGTCTTTTTTACTGACCGGCAACGGGATTGCAACCCTCAGTGTTGCGCCCGCACTGCACTCAGCCAGTA